TTTTTTCTTGAACTCCGATTCTGCACGATTTTGCCCCCCTGCTTCAGGGCTAAAGTAAGAGGGTACAAAAAAAAGTGCACAGGGTACATTCAAGTACTCAATGAGTACAATCCAAACCAACAAAAAAAAGTTAGATTTTTCAAACTTCGATGCCAACTTCACATAGCTGATATTACCTCACGCTTATTCCTCACTGGTTCAATCGTCTGAGGCGGTTTATTCAAATTCAAAATTTATTTTCACTCAATTTCGAAATTTTCAATCATGACTTTTGGAATTATATCGCACGGTAGTGCACGTTCGGTCTCGCAAGAAAAAAGCCTGATGCCTATTTGTTCATATATTTTTTTAGTTCAGTGGTTTAATGGCTGTTGTTGGGTTTATTTTCTCCAGAGTGGTCGTAAGACGTTGGGTGGATTCGAATAACATTGAGGGAATTGTGGATAAAATACGGATAGTTGGGGGAAATGATGGGGGGAATTTCATGTTGTTGCAAAGGCAGAGGAGTTTTCTTTATTTAAGGGAATTGCTCTCGGTTCAAGAAAACACTCGGAGGGAGTGGAATCTCAACAGGGACGACCTTATTTAGCCACAGTCAATTCCGAAATATTAACAGGATCAATGTAGTTGGGCGCAATGTTTTCCCTCGCATTTCCCATTTCAACGATTTTCGGTTCATGACTTAATATTTTTATTAACATAAAATACCTCTCAATTAGTAGATTAGAAATAAAATAATATAATATACTTGTGGTTAAAGAAAACGTGTAGATTAATAATAACTTGTCCAATTTATGACTTTTATGTTTCGCGTGGGAAACATTGTGAATTATATTTTCATGCTCGGTATTAAAACTTTCACGTGAAAATTAAACTCTTCAATAAGTCTCGAGGGACTTAACAACTTCGCGGAGAGAATGGAGACAATACTGTCAGCATTATCAGAGCCAGGAAAGTTATAATAGCAGTCATATTTTGCCTTCTCAACATTATCCTCAATTAGTGAATTTCAAAAACATATAGATTACAATGATGATTACCAGAACCTATCCACAGAGCTAAAATATTCCTTTATTTTCCATGTATCATTGAAAACTGCGAAAATTTCCGTGAAAATCGAAATTTCTTTGTAACAGAAACCAGCGAATGATTGCCTTTACACTCATCGCTTTATTGTGGCATGAAAATCGATCATACAGTACCACGGTGTGTACCTAACGAACAACTAGTACAACTAATTTCCCCCCATTCGCTGATTTCTCAATTAATTGATGAGGCTGAAAGAAAAACTTCTATTCCACTTACGCTGCACTCTGCACTCTGCACTCTATTTCCCTCAATATTTGCACAGAACCAGGCATGAAGGGTAATTGTGTAATGTACTTACGGGCATTTTCAGGTTGTTGAGATTCTTCCGACGTTTACCCAGTCGGAGGGAGGAAACTCATCAAAAATCCGCAGAACCTTCTGCTTTTTAATTGGGAAGAATTTAACCGTTAAAAGCCCCACCTTTCATTAATATTGCAAATCGTGAATCAGATTTTTCTTTTGCTACACCATTAATTGGGAACGAATTCAATCATGAACTCTGTCAATTACATAATATTAATGACATCTTGAGTGATAGACTATCAATAATAAATTTTTTTTCGTGACCTTCGAAATTCCTGTTAGTTCCGCAATTTTATGTCACGCACATTCTCCTGAATTTCCTAACCGACAGCGTCCGGGGATAATGAATCTCAATCAGACCAATTTTTCCATTGAAAAAGAAAAAAGAACGTCCAACAAAAGAATCCCCTAAAAGCGTTGGACATTGCCCAATAAATTACAAGGAAAGATCGTTTCCGTCGAAAGCGTCAATTTTTCACTCTCCAATTGTACAGGAAAAAGTGAAAGAAATTTTTAATGTAACACGTCTTCTAACGGAAAGCTTTACCATCACACGAGGTGAATAAAGTTCATGATAATACATGTCGGGATAAAAGCCCGACTCTTTTCTCTGCGAGGATTCGACAGGTATCACCCCCATTGGCTATATTGGTTATATCGGTTGTATTGGCTGTGCCATTGGCTCCAGAATGACGTTGGATTTTTGTTATTTACCTGATTCATGTAGGATCTCACAAACTCCATGCTTTGATCAAGGGCGTATGTATCACTGCTACACGAGTCGAGAATCAGTGCTCCAATGGTTGTATTTGGTAATAAATCGTTACTCATGTTTATCTCATCAAGAGCAAAGAGCATGGCCTCCAGGCGTTGTACCCCCTTTTCCTCTTTCACAGCACCACATGGTGATTCACCACCCACTCCAGCAACCTAAACGTTCCATATCGAAGCAAACACACATTTTATTAAATTAAATTTCTTGTGTGTCATTGCACGCGGACATTTAAATTCTCTCATCTCGGTACGTCCGGTACGAAATTTATGCAATTTTTTATAAACCTCTCAATATTGTTCTGCATTTTAAATTAATACGCAATGCTGATCTCTCTATTTAAATAATACTCTCCTAAAAATGACACATCAACTGTTCACAAAATGTTCATCGTTTTCCAAAAGTGTAAACAACTTATCACGATGTTACACACCGAAGTTTTTGCTAATATCCATTCACCCAACTTTTATCGGCGATTGTAGAAAAATGTATGTTGATACAATTTTTCTCTTACCCATACATGTACTCGAGAACGTTTGGCAAACAGCTCCATAAATTCAGAGCTAAACCTCTCGTGAAACATCGAGGGAGCATATTTACACATTTGAGGAAGAGAAAAATATATGAAAAGGAAAAAAAAAAGAAATAGGGCAGAGAATACTTTGGATGGAGTACCTGTTCGTGCATCGGAAATATTCCACCGAATATGACGTCGCCATCGATGCGTATGAGCTTCGAGGTGTCTTCTTCACTGTGTTCACTGGATTCTTCGTAACAGTCACTAAGCAGAAGATAGGGGAATAGACACATCCACAATAGTACTTTGCGAGCTCTAATAGTACTCATCCAAGTCGGACGATCACGATGCAGTGCCATTTTCACTGGAAGCAATATTCCAATGACTGGGATCAATCGCACTTAAAAAAATTATCATTCCGTCATTATCAAATAGCATTTATTAATATTTTGCTGGAACAACAGGATGATTGGAAAATTAATATTGCAAACGTTTCCGTAGTATTTCTCTCTTTCCTCGTTTTATCCTCGAGAGTTTTTCGTAAAAGCTTTGCTATTTCCCAAATGCCTGACAGTCATCCATAATAACTGCTGGAAAAGAAAAATACGGGAACAAAAATCAATGGCTTCGTACACGAGCGAAACACTTTTTAGAGAATGTCATTCCGTAGGTTTGCAGTCTCCTCTACAAGAATAAGCACAATCTCCCTCGGGTGCAATTACCTCATCCAGTTTCATCGCATCGCTGATAAATGGATGAAAAAAAGTACAGGCAACGTTTCAGAAATACCACTTTTTCCGAGGATGAATGCAGCTGGTACAATACTGTGGTGCACGGATTCAACGGTTTACAGGCATTTCCAATATGCTGGAATAGAAAATCGAGGCAAACTTTCCACTTCAATACAGACAATATTTTGAAAAACGAATATTCGGAATAGATTTGGATAATTTCAAGAACCGCAGGCCTTTGATTCAATCCGCACGGATAAAAAATAAATAAATAAATTCGCCATCATGAGCACCTCTCGCCTTTTTATCATTAAATTTTTTCCGGAGAAGAGACAGAAAGTGCATTTCCCGGTGCGTTCAGTAGGCAACGAACCAAAATATCCTAACGGCCATGAGAAAATTATCCACCCCATGATAATCAGCGAAAATGTAATATTCGCAACTAGAGTGGAGTTTGTATTTATGAAAACCAAGGTAAAACTCGTGAAAACGACTTTCAAGTATTCTCCCTGTAATTAACCATCCGTCAGTTGAGTTCCAGCTTTCTGCACAATCTCAGCTTTTTCTCAAACATCTGTCTGCCATTTGTGGGTGTGTGATTTACAACCCGTGGACGTGGAAAATCTAGCCCAGAATTAGCCAAATGAGAGTTAACACGGCATACCAGGAGTTAAAACATGTCAAAGTGGTTTACAACCAGGGTTATACCAACACTAGTGCCACTGTGATTAACCTCAGGGTGTTCTACCGTATCTACCGCACTAAAGCCTCTGTCCTCACCTGTCCTGTGATTTTCGATACGGCATTTCGTGGCAGATGGATATTCCTAATAGCAAATTAGGGGGATGTAGTGTATAATTTCATGCGAAACTTCTCCATTCAGAATTTCTCGGGATAGACTAACAATGACGACGCAATGGTAATCTCCACCAGTACTGTACTCATTAATGTAAAGTGATCCATCCCGTCGAAAGTTTTCAGGAGAGATCGTCGTAGTTATCAACATAATAACCATATCTCAAACAATCAACTCAAGTTCCAACGGAGGGAAATTAAAACATCTGATGAAACGCGTGATATTACGTAATATTTCTTAAAAATTATAAAATTATGGCTAAATGAGAGCTGACGATAAAGCGTTATTGTGGGTCATTCATTTATTGCATTTCAAGATCATGATAAAATAATATAGATTCGGGGCATGTCTAATCTTCCGTGAAATGCGCGACTGAGTGTTGTTTTGTTGAGGAGAAATAAATGATAAATATCATTGTAATTCATGGGATATTAATCTGATATTGAGAGGTTGAGAGGACAAGAGGAGAATAAATCGTAACGAAAAGTTTGTCAAATCTGTCTCGGAAACTACTAAATCATGATGAGTCTTCTTTTCAATTTAGAACGATTTTTCAATGTCTCTTCAATGCTGCAACTGACAACATTTAATCCATCAAAAGAGAAGAATCGCGTTCTCCATTCCAACAATACTACCCCCCATTTAAAAATGTTTTCTTTCCGTTTTTTAAACAGAGAGAAATATTTTGGGAGAAATGAATTTTGAGACGTCTCAATGATTTAGAAGGAACGAATTCGTAGTTTGGAATTAAGAATGTTTTATTTTCCGCTGAGAATTCATTTCATGAAAGGCAGGATGGAGACGAGGGATCAACGGACGTATAGAAAATCATAATACTCTCATATGGAAATGCATGAATTGGAAAATTGTACCTTCGAACCCTGCACTCGTCCGGGTTTTTCGCCTGAGAACCCCGACTTCAATCACAAAAAATTCTACTATCCTGGTATACAAGAAATACGAAATGATATAGTGAGAGAATATTTCTGGAAAATCCAGGGCTCATGAAATATCCCACGGTCTCTAGAATCTAGAGTCTAGATGTAGCTCTGGGCGAACCATAGACCCACTATTGCGGCAGAATTCCAGATTATGATTCATTATGCAAATCTCGTTAGATGGGTAGAGAGATGGTAATATATAGTGGACAGCAGAGCTGTCGTCCTCATCTCATATAATAATGATTCCCAGTTGAATTACGAGCTCTTGAATTGATGGAAATGCTAAGCCCCGGGTAGATAACTAGTTTCGGTGAATTATCGCAAGAGGTGGCGAATCGTTGAAGCAAGTAGTGATAATATTTTTTTCTTGGCTTTGAAATACTCTGAATGTTGATGCCAGATGGCAGAGGTCATAAAAAATGGCGCTAAAATTCTATGTGAAATCACTTGATGGGAACAATTTGTCCCAGGAAGGAGAAGGGAGAGGGCACTTTGCACCAAGTGACTTTTTATTTAATTTTTCAAGTGCAGAGGGAGAAGATAATGCCGTCATGTTCGTGAAAGTGAGAGGAGTCGACAAGTGGTGGAGATGAGGCTTATGTTGAAGTGAAATTTTTTTCAAGGAATATTCACGAGAGTGAAGGGCTGTGTAATGAACAAGCAAAAATTTTCGAATTGAGAGCATCTTTGCTCTGGGATAGAGAGTACAATCCTGATCCTTTGATTAATTGAAGTTGTCAGCGATGATTCTTCCGCAATTCAAAAAAATTCACGTCATCATGACGGAGTAGTTCTCCGCACACAAATTATAAACTTCTATTTAATTGAATAAATTCTACTTGCGTTGGGGAAACTAGTTCCAGGTAGAATTTTCATGTGTCATCGAGCATTCAAAAAGTTTTCCCGGTGAATTTTTTTTATCGAACAACCAGGGAACTCCGTTGGTAAATAGTATATGGAAAACCTTTGGTTTCAATTCGGTGGAATCAGTGGACTTGAAGAATACTTTTGACAACATTTTGAAAAGAAAAAATATTTCTACAGTCTAGTACAAAAAATCATGATTATTCGTATTTTCATCTGACAAAAAAACTTGATTGTTGTTTATTCAAAGCAAGACCTGATGAACCTGGTGAACGGATTAACTGGATAAAAAGTAGTTTCACTGGAATGTGCGGTCATCCCTTGTATCCAACGACATGCAGACGACTAGGATTCCTCCCCGATGGCGGGAATGAAAATAAAATAGGATTATCCCCAAGCGCTCAATCCCAGCAATTGACCTCAGTCCTGCATCACATTTTTTTTTATTAAATTACTATAAATTCCCACAACAACGGCTTATGCCTTCATTCGGGACATTATATAGCCAATCCACTAAAGTTTCCCTCCAATAAAAATCCCAGGAACAAAACTCCATCACTAGAAACTTGCAAGTTGCTCGATAAAAATCCGCACTTGTAACTTTTTTTCACTCGCTAACATTCGTCCGCTCCATTCAGCTGTAGCGGTTATTCTCCTTGGCTAGATCCATACCAATCCAAAAAAAAAAATCACAAAGGATTTCCACCCTCACTTCCTCCACCCACTCACCCACTCGCCCTCCCACCTCATCCGTTCATCACAAAACGTAAAACTGAAAACACATAGAAAGATGAAAAACGAAGGAAAAATCATGAAAGGAATCATAAAAAATTTCACGACAGAATAATTCAAATAAATTCGTAAATGCGGCAAAAAATCTCAGAAAATGTACAGAAGAGACAGCTAGTTTGACTCGCGTAAATCCCACTCGTACATCCCCCTGTGACGTTGAGAAAAGAAATATATAGACACAAGGAAATATCGGAGGAAAGAGAAATACCATGGTCGCAGAATAGCTCGATTTTTTATTCGCAATGAAATATCCAGCTAGAGTTTCTAATTGCAATTATTTCCCCAACTTTTGTAAATATTTTCCAGCGACGCGTGTATATATATATATAAATATTCTTATATATTTCCATAGCAAGAGTCAATTAATTTCGCAGGAGAATTCTTTCGGTCCATTAACCGCTCGAAAAATGGCGTGACAAAGGAAAATAAAATAATTACAAATATATAAATGTGACTGTCATGCGCAGATATTTCCGGTTTCTCAACCATATTTACATAGTAGAAACAATTATGTATCTCATTATATGCAGTAGGGGGAAAATTTTCATAACGAGTTTTCGTTTGCTCACGGCATGTTGCGCATAACCACTCGATTTAATGTAGCGATATCGAAATATAGATCCTGATGAAGAATTTATGGATGGAAAACATTGAAAATTCCGCATATCCGGTAACTGTTTGAACAATTTCACTGTGTGAATAGCAGTGAAGATAAAACATTCGCGTTATTGATAATGGTTGACGATGAAAATATTCTCATTTGGAGAGGAATAAAAAAATATATTTAATTCGACTATATTTTGACGACACTTTCATTTCAAATTGTCGTATGGGATCGATAAAACCGAGATATCCGAAAATTCTCAAGCCTTTATTCCCGGGAATTATCCTCGCGACACGGTCTCCTTGTATTCACTTGGATTTCAACATAAACTCCACCTCGAACAATTATCCACCCTTGCAAAGGGCCACACACCCCGAAGAGCCATTGCCAAGTGCCAGAGGAACATGAAGGCAACCCCGGAAAAGATTTTTCTCCACCTCGATGAACAAGCGAGGGCGCATTTTTAATCGACACCAATTATTTCGTCACATGGAATTTTTTTTCTATTCTTTCTCGTCCCCAATTCCACTTGTCTTCATTGTACCATGTTCCCATTTACCTCGACATACTGTTGCGTAGGTGAGCATTTTGTCCAGCGATGTCCGGAATATCGAAAATTGACTAATTGATTGGGATTCTGACATGAGCTGCGCTGACGCAAACTAGACGCCCGAGGGAAAAATTAATTATACAAGCTGTAGTACATAGACGTGTCGTTGATTTCATCCCACACATAATATATCATACGTGGGATTGAACCCAACCTTTTCACACTTCGTCGTTCAAGTTTGAAAATTTCATTCTCGTTTCCATCACACGCTTTTCGAGCCCAACTCGATTATATTCACTGACCAATGAACTATCTAGATCGCATCGTATCCCTCAGGGGGAAATATAAAATTGAGATCCGCGAGTTTATGGATTAACATGATGCCCTGGTTAGGTCGGGGTTAATGTCATTTTCCTGGGAAATTTCATGAGCCGTAATGATTAATCAAGTGGTTCATCCAATGAGTGTAATTTGACTCTCTTAATTTTGAATTTATCTCGAAAATTAATGACACATTTTCCACAAATTGCGGTAATTGGCTTTCAGAAAATTCTAGTAGAACTATCAGTTGAGAAAAAAAACACTATTATTTGATTTGCCAGGGACATAATTCATAAAAACATTCTAAAATCAACATATTAAGTCAAGACACGTGGAATATGTTCTCCCGTTCTGTTCTATTTTGTTGGCTTTTCTACTTGGCTCGGCAATTAAACTCAACAATTTAATTGGCGTGATGCCACTCCCTCAAGAACTTTAAACTGAAAATTGTAACAGTGAATCGATCCAACACGAAAAGGGTGTTAACCCATAAATTGACTCTTTCCTTTTCCCGTATATCTCTTTTATCTCCGGATCCCAGTCTCCCTTATGTTTTTCCTCGACTCTCCTTTTTTCATAATTCCTCATGCTCGCCCCAAATGAACGAGTGAAGTCCTGAAAGCTCGATGAAACTTTCAATCGGGGACCTTTGGCACAATTCCACGAGCGATAAATTCCCCAGTAAGAAGTCTTAAAGCAACAGATCGTTCGTCATTGATGAGATCAATTTGCGAATTAGTGTAAACCAAAGTTTAATTTAATGTTGGCTGTCGTGACGATGGACAGTCACATCAACCCAACAGCGACCAGTTAATAATTTCCAATCAACCATTGAACTCACTAAATGGACAAGATTGCAATTCGATTAATGCCACTGTTTCACAATTTGATTAATTAATTATAGATTCGTTTCGCAATTACTCAGTCAACGGGGAGTGGATGCTCCAGCAATGGCTGGATCAACCACTGAATTTTATTATTCACCATAAATCGCGACTTCACAAATAACCGGCAGTGAATTCAATTCCTCGTTTTAGTACATCTTTTCAACTGGTAGTAAACCGTATCCTCACAATTGTTCGTTGTATATATGAATCCATTATAGTGGACGCTTGTTCAACTCCTGTGTCCATTTGTTTTGTTGAATTACCACAGAAACTAGCAAGGCACCTCGATGTATTCCATCGTCCATGGACCAATTGTAGGCGAAGCGTATACATACATTTCGAAACGCAATTGTCGTAATTCAACCCACCCGTAACGTTTGACAAATTGAGGATTAACACCCCGAGGGGTTCCCTCAGTGTTTGCGTATAATTTTTTAATCTGGCGAACTACTTTTTCCTCCTCTTCGTTTTCCTCATTCACAGGTCTTCTCTCCGGTCTCTTCCATTGAATAAGATGAGAATTCAGATTCTGGGGTGGAACATTGCGAACATTTAGGAGATTAAATAATACGAGGTCGGGG